AGAGAAACAGTAGAACGGTGGTTGCTAGGGGCTGGGAAATGAGGAACTATTGGTTAGAGGGTGTAAATTTCCAGTTAGAAGATGATTAAGTTCTGGGGATCTAATGTAGAGCATTGTAATTATAAATAACAATATTGAACTATATACTTGAAAGCTGCTTAAAGTAAATCTTAAATGTCTCCCTACAAAAAAACAGAAGGTAATTATGTAACATGGTTGGGATGTTAACTAACCCTATTGTGGTACTCATTTTGTAACATAGAATTATATCAGATTATCACATTGTGACACCTTAAACTTACACAATGTTATATGTCAATCATATCTCAATAAACCAGGGGACAAAAAAGAATTGCCATAATCCTTCACTCAAATCTCCTGAATGTTAGGGGCGCCTAGGTGGCTCAGTCGGTTAAGTGGCTGCCTTCAGCTCAGGCCCTGATCTTAGGGTCCTGGGATGGAGCTCCATGTTGAGCTCCCTGCTGAGCAGGGAGTCTACTTCTCCCTCTCCTTCTGCTCCTCCCCATCTCATTTTTTTCTTTCTCTCAAATAAATATAAAATCTTTTTAATTTCCCAAACATTAACGTCTTATATGGGCCAAAATACAATTATAAAAACCAGGAATTAACACAGGTACGACATTACTATATAATCTACAGGTCTTACTAAATGCTCACCATTTGTCTATCTAATCATCTAATTCCTTTTTCATCTCCAGGATCCTTCAGGATACCCCACTGCACTGTGTTGTTGTTTCCTTAGCTTCTTCTGCTCTATGATGGCTCCTCGGTCTTCCTTGCCTTCATACCTTCATACTGATGTCTCAGATTCCAACCCAACACTACAGGCTCATTCTAGCCTCCCCCCTCTCTTATTTGTAACTTCTTTCTCTGCCAGTGAGAAAATTGGCTCTCAACATCTACAATATATTTACTCATTTGTTCAGCACTAGTCTCTACATAAAGTAGTTTCAGAATTACTAACTTACTTTCCTGTGAGAAATAACTAGGACGACTGTATTGACATACAATCTTTTTCCTTAGCCTGACAGTATCTAGTCAAATTCCTATTTCCTAAAGGTTTTTGGGTTAGTTCTTTTCTACCCCCACCTATCAGTGTGATTGTATTATTCATCTGTACTGGGTTCATTTGTAACAACCTGTGTTCTATTTGGGGAACACGCATCCTGCTTAATTTTTTAAAAAATTTATATACAGTGAAACTCACTCTATGTGCTTTGTAGTCTTATGAGATGTGACAAATGTCTAGAGCCATATCTATCACCACGGTCATGAAACAAACAGTTGCATCCCTCACCAAAAGCATTCCCTCAGCTGTCCCTTTGTAATTAGCCCCTCCCCACACAACCCCCCCCCCCATTTTCTGGCAACTACCGATCTGTTTTCCACCTCTATAGTTTTGCCTTTTCAAGAATGTCCAATGAGTGGGTTCATGTAATAGCTTAGAGATAGCTAGCTTTGGGGATCTGGCTTCTTTCACTTCACAAAATATGTTCATTTTCCTCTACGGGTCATGATCTACTGTCACAGTTATTTATTTTGCTGCTCAGATTCCCCAGATTTGGCTCTTGAGAGCCCTTTTAAGTTGGCTCCTGGGATCTCTTCACATGTCCCCACCGTGTTTCAAGGACTTCCTTACTTTCTGGCACCACAAGCTCTCCTAGCTTATTTTCTCTTTTCCCTTTTTCAAGGGAAATCCCAGTCCATTTTTTTTTTCAAGAAGCCCTTGTACCTGGAGAATCCACTCTAGTGCACCAGACATCCTGTCCTCCCAGAAGAGGACCTGGAGAGAAACTGACTCATTCCCTCCTGAAGTGCCCAGGAAAGAGGAAAAAGGGTTTTTGGTTTTTTATTCCTCCTCAGAAGGCTCTGAGGTGGCAGATTAAAGGAGCTAAGTAAAGATGTGGGTTTTCGGTGCAAATCAGGCTGTCAGAGGGCTCGTACCAATGTTGACATCACCCATCTATGGCTTCTGTGATTCTTGGCAAGATTACCAAAATGGCACTGTGCATGGAAGCCTGTCCAAGGTTTTCGAATACGACGCGAAGCCTTGGGTGTCCCCCTGTGTCAGGGGATGCAGTCTGGCTGCTTCTATGCCCGTGTCCTTCTGCTCCCCACCACTGGGAGTCACATCAGAGTAGTTACACAACTTTCTCATCAAAGTGACTAAGCTGAGGAACCCCTGGACAGCTACATAAAAATTATGTTTAAAACTAGTTTTAGGGGCGCCTGGGTGGCTCAGTGGGTTAAGCCGCTGCCTTCAGCTCAGGTCATGATCCCAGCGTCCTGGGATTGAGCCCGGCATCAGGCTCTCTGCTTGGCAGGGAGCCTGCTTCCTCCTCTCTCTCTCGCTCTGCGCCTGCCTCTCTGCTTACTTGTGATCTCTATCTGATAGATAAATAAATAAATAAATAAAATCTAAACAAAAAAAAAACTAGTTTTAGAAATACGTGATTCTCTCAAAACTCCTTGCTAAAGCAGTGTGTGTCAGCGGCAGGCTGTGAGAGTTCCCCGAGGTTGCTATGGGAACTGGTATCCCCGAATTTCAAGTTCCCCCCACCGCCCCCATTAGCACCTTGCTCTTAGCAGCTCTTTGGAAGGAGGGATGTTTCACTCTTCTTTGAAAGAGGAATATCTCTTCCTTTGGGTTGTGAACCATTAGCCAACGGGGTTTCACTCAGGAAAGAGATATGCTGTGTGACTGGGTTCCCTCTCAACCATGGCAGCCCGGAGCTGGTAAGAGGAGTCAGACATGCTCTCGGAAGGAGACACACCAGCGGACGCTAACCGTCTTCTGCTTGACGCCGAAAAGCCACGTGTAGCCTGCAGAGGGAATGCGTGCTGCAAGGGCAAGGGGGGAGCTGTAGGTGGCAGGAACCGCACTGGGTGCCGCAGGGCCTACTGGGGTCCCTTCCCTGCTCAGGGGTTAGCACCACAGACCAGATTCCTGACTCCTTCCCCTTAAATCTTAGGCTGTGGTCTCAATGCCTGTCTTCAGGAGCCCTTGAGATCATTAACAATCACTACCAGTGAGCTGCATTTGTTGGTTGAACGGATCCCAGCGTGTTCCCATGCTCCAGATGTGACCTGGAAGCCCTTGTTTCCAGGAGCCTGACTCCATGTGGTCAATGCTGGTGCAGAGGAAACTTAGGTGCCTGGAATCATCAGGTCGCCATGTAACCCCATCCTGGACCTCATAGCCACTTCTGCAGGTACCAGTCCCCCTGGATGAGTGGGTGAAGAGCATCCGGTTTGTTTAAGGGCAGCCCAGTGGCTGGGCTGAGGGTAGGCTCCAAAGGCTTGGTCCACGGGGAGGCAGCTGCGTTTTGTACCTCACACATGCACCAGGGCTGAAAAGTTGTGAGCAAAACATGAGGAGTCAGGGAGAAAGTGGGGAGGTGGGCTGGAGAGAGCAGCTTCTCTGGACCAGGGCCCGAGCGACCCCTGCAGGTGCTGGGTCTGTCCCTTTGGGCTCACGGAAGAGACACTGCTGAGGGAGTCTGTAAGAGTCTCACCTGTGCACTTCCGGAGGATTCTGGATGCTGAGCTGGCCGGAAGGCCCAGGGCTGAGATCCCAGGACTTTCTGAAAGTGTTATTTGGTACTAAGGTGGAATCCAGGGTGAGTTAGGACAAAGCATCTTCTAGTGTGATAGTCAAGGGCCCAGGGACACTGTGGCTCTTCCGAGTCACCACTAAGTACACTTGCCTTTGTAAACAAGGTGAAGGACAAGAGGAATTACTGCCATCTAAGGCAGTGGTTCTCAGAAGCACCTGGGAAAGTAGAGACACTTTTTAAATCAAATGGTTTTAACCCAATGTTTCAACAGCTCTTGGGTCCAGCTTTGGGTTTTAAACACTCTGAGTGATTCTAATAGGTGGCCAAGACAGAGAACTTCCGCTCTAAGACAAAACATCTCTAACTTTAAAACAACGTAGACCATGTGAGCGTCATGCGGAGGTAGGCTGCAATAATTTGGTTCAGTTCTTTACTAAACAAAAAAAAAAATCCTCTAAGTTGAATCTGCACTTGGATGTATCACTACTCTCTGAAAACAAAGGTAGAAGGATTAGGAAAACAGATGGTACTGTGAGTATCTTCCTATATTTGTGACACAGTCCTTCTAGTGCTGAGAACACAGAGCTTTATTTTCTTCCCGTGGATACGGTAGTTGTCCTCTAACACTGTATAGAGAAAGTGGACCCATGGGCGCCTGGGTGGCTCAGTCAGGTAAGTGTCTGCTTTCAGCTCAGGTCATGATCCCAGGGTCCTAGGACGGAACCCCACATCAGGCTGCCTGCTCAGCGGAGAACCAGCTTCTCCCACTCCCCCTGCCTGCTGCTCTGCCTACTCATGCTCTCTATTTCTCTGTCAAATAAATAAATAAAATCTTAAAAAAAAAAAAAAAAGAAAGAAAGAAAAGAAAAGGAAAAAAAGCTGGACCCAGAAGCCACACACTGGTCGGAGCTAATGCAAGATTCAAATTCAAAGCTCTACTAAAAACATCGTCATGGGCCGGGGGGATGTCCTAGCTCTGACCCTAAGCAAAATTGTGATGTAGGAGTCCCTGCCACATACCTCATCGCAGACAGTAGGCCAGGGGCTGTCCCAGAGTTTGGAGGATGAGGTGGGCCCAGGCAGCCGTGTCTATCTACCATGACTCCCAAATTGAACCTGCAGACAGGGGACCCATGAAAAAAAAGGGGGCCCCAGAGAGGGTGATGAGAACAGAGTTGACAAAGGCTTCAGGCGCTAACTAATTAATGACCTTGGCATTTGAGATTGGCGGTATTAGACTTTCTGGGTGTGACCAGCTGGAAGGGAGAGATTTACCCACTGGTGGCTACTGGGAGAGAAAGGGAAGTTAAGGGACCTATTCATGAATCGACTCAAAATCACCCAAATGTTGGAGGGCATGAAGCCTGACATCCTTATTTCAGAGACATGGAAATTGAGTCACTGGAAGGTAAGGGGACTCACCCATGGTCACACAGCCAGATGGGGCCTAGAGACACCAGATGTCAACTCCTTCATCTAGTCAGCCCTGTCCATTCTCAAAGCACTTCCTGAGCCCTGAGCATATGACATCACATAAGTGATGGGGGTATAGCGGACACCCTGTCACCAAGAAGGTCACTGTCCACTCACACATCTGGATTGGTTTCCTATTGTGCTGTAACAAACCACCACACATTGGTGGCTTAAAATAACACCAACTTACTATTTCATAGTTCTGTGGTTCACAAGTTCAATGTGGGTCTCACTGGGGCCAGAATCAGAGGGTTGCCAGGGCTGTGGTCCTTTCTGGAAGTTCCAGGGAAGAATCTGTTTCCTCGACTTTTTCAGCTTCCAGAGGCCACCCACGTTCCTGGGTCACGGCCCTCCCCTCCTTCTTGTAAGCCAGTGATGCCCGGCAGGGATCCTCTCACACTGCCTCCCTCCGCCCTCCTTTTCTGTGCCCCTCTTCTGCTTTGAAGGACCCTGGGGATGGCATGGCGCCCCACCTGCTAATCCAGGGTAACTTCCCTGTCTTCAGGTCAGCTCATTAGGAACCTTAGCTCCTCTTTGCCATGTTACAACACATTCATAGGTTCTGGGGAAAAAACATCTTTGGGGGACCATTTATCCTGCCTGCCCCACTTCCCATGAGACTGTGACAACCCGGTTAGCAAGAGAAGGGCTGGAATCAGAAAGCTCAGGAGGGCTGGACATGGTGTCAGAAGAAGAAAACCGTACCTGGGGCTTGTCGCAGGCTGGAGTGTTTGTGCATAAATAAGGGACTGTGGATGGGAGGCTTGAGACAGAAAGGATCTGTGCATTCCTCCCTCACCAAAGCACACACGGGGTGTGTTTCCCAGAAAGTGGAAATGGTATGCAGGGTCAGGGAGGCCCAGTTCTTTCTCAGGGCCAGAGGCGTAGTGTCTGGAATGAACTGGACGTTTAAAAGCTAACCTGTTATGAAGTCAGTCAAGAGAGGAGAAGGACAAACCTCCCAGCCCTGCCCCCACCGTAGACTGGCTAGCTGCTCTGAGACTCTCCCCATTTCAGGTGAACTGTCAGAGAATCTGCAACCTAAAAGGACTTAAAACGAAATAGTCTCCCAGCTGGTCTCCCTGTCTTCAGCTGTCCTGTTGTGTGTCTCCCCCACCCTCCCAGAGAGTGCAGCTTAACACACACACACACACACACCCCACCGCTGGCTTTGCCTACCCTTCACAATAAATGTCTACACTCGACAGAAGAGTCCTTTCACCCCGTGGGACCTGCCGTTCCCGGCAAGCAGTTCATATTCCCGAAAACACAGCCATCTTTTCATTCTCGAGTCTTCTGGAATAAACTGTCTTCCTTCTCTTTCTGGAAAACTCTAACTCACCTCTTAAAACCAACTATTACTTTCCCAGGGATTTCTGCAGGAACTGAGTGGCTGCCTCTCACCTGCTCTCACTGTTCACGGCCCCATTTTCCTGCTGAGCTGAGCACATCAAGGTCAAGGGGCTGTCATTTTCCTCTGTTTCCCCAGGACCTACTGAGCAAGGAACCTGGCAGAGCCAGTGCTCTGGAAATGTTTGTCACGTGAAGAAGGATTATAGAAAGTTGGCACCCTCTGCTTTCCCAGTCCCTTAGGAATGAAGAATCTGGAAGTTGAATCTGTAAGAGTTTCACGACTGTGTGAAATTGGACAAAGTCTACAATTAAAAGAAATTGGCATTTCCAATAGATGGATGGTATTTGTGGCCATAATTAATGGCCTCCCTGTACCCACCCCTTGGATTCATGACTTTGCAACTCCTCCCATTAAGAGGTAGATATGATTGGGGCGCCTGGGTGGCTCAGTGGGTTAAGCCGCTGCCTTCGGCTCAGGTCATGATCTCTGCTCAGCAGGGAGCCTGCTTCTCTCTCTCTCTCTCTCTCTGCCTGCCTCTCTGTCTACTTGTGATCTCTCTCTGTCAAATAAATAAATAAAATCTTTAAAAAAAAAAAAAAGAGGTAGATATGATTTCTCTCCTCTTGAATCAGAGCTAGCCCTGTGACTTGCTTTGGCCAACAGAATGTAGCAGAAGTAGTGATGTGCCATTTAGAGTCCAGGTCAGGAAGCCTTGAATGTGTCTGTTCTTTGCCTAGGACCCCTGCCTCAATCATGAAGACAAGCCAGGACCAACCCGCTGGAGGACAAAAGGACAACCGTGGGCTAATCTGTGGAATAGAGCCAACTCTGCTCAAGGCCATGCCAAATCCATTAGCTCTAGCTCTGGAACCAAGCAGCTGGCCACAGAGTAAGCCCAGGTGAGATCAGCCAAGCTTGACCCAAATCACCAGAACCATCCATCCAACCCATAGACATAGGAGCAACAATAAATGGCTATTGTTTTAGCTGCTAAAATCAGGGATGTTTTGTTACACAGCATTATTGTGTGATAGATAACTGATGCAGAACAGTTCACGATTAAGAGGCAAATGGGAAGTGAGTGCATGGCTGGCTGTTGGAGTGGGTAGGAGGGAGCCAAGGAAACCCATCTACTTTATTATTATAATTATCAAAGTTTCATTCTAGGGAAAATGAGTTCCTTTCCTCCTTTGATCTGTATGCACCGAGAATGCTTTTCGTTGGCTTCCTCCTGGTGTTCACTTGGGGACTAGAAGCAGGAATGGGTTCCAACACTGTATTTTCCTGAGTGGAAATAATTAATTCAATGTTTCCTGAAATGAGGAAGCCATCAGAGACCTGTTTTTTGAACCTGCCGAATGGGTCTGGTATTTGCATTCTGGATACTTGTTTCAGGAAGACAGGCCTGGTGGAAAAGTTCGCTTGAGGAATACTGTGTTTGGAAACTCAAAAATAAAAACAAAGATAAGAGCCAACGTGACCCTGCAGTTTTGACAAACTTGGAAGTGAGGAAATAGGGAGCCAAGGGGCTGGAGTTGGAGGAGATAGGGGGCAGGGATGGACACCTGGAGGCATCCCAAGGACCTGGAGGATGATTACCAGCTCAGCCCATCACACCCTCCGCACATTCACGTCTGTGTTGGATAAGTTTGGCCTGGCTCCTAACATTCCCTCCTAACTCATGCGGCCTCCTTCCAGGCTAATTTGGCAATTGCTTGAAAGCACACTGAAGAATTTTCCTTCACAAAGATGAGGAAGGAGGACAGAGGGGTTGCTTCTGCCCCTGACGCGTATTCACCACCCCGAGCCCACCTCCAATCTCACTGCCTACCTGGCCTACTATCCGGAAGGGCTCCTTCCCTTTTCCGGTTCCTCCTCACTGCCCAAGGGCTACGGCCCCCCTCTTGCTGGCTGGAAGCTTAACTCCAGTGTTGTCTCTCTTGCCAAAACTTTATAATGGTCTTAGCGACTTCAGGGGCAAATGCTCAACATTTAAAATGGATAAATAAATTTATAAGGGGGAACTTGGGAACCCCACACTGCACTTGACAGTGCCTCCATGGGAAACGTGCTCCCTGTTCTTAAACAGCCAGGCCTACAGATGAGCTCTTACCGGGGCACCAGCCCTTTCCAAAGTGGCTCCTCTTTGAGCAAAGGAGAAGCAAACCTCCTCCCTGCTGGGCCTTTTAATTTTCATTAAGCTCCGCATTCAAAGATGATTTGCCTGGTTTACTGTTGCTCTCCTTCAGTTCACTCCTTTGGTCAAGATTTTCCACAACCTCTGATCCAGAAATCCGCTCTCCCTTTCCTACCCTGCGGTGAGCTTTTCCACCCTGCTTCTCTCACCACAGATCCTTGCTTACTCAAGGGCTCTAGTGACAGGACACCCGAGAGCCTGGCCACATGGGATCGGCCCCTCTTCCTACCTTGGTCCCCATGGAAACGGCGGTGAAGCCAGGCTTGGATGGTCAAGGCCACTGAGATCACTCCCTCCTGGGACGCGCCCACAGGACAGGAGGCAGAGAGGCCCGGGAGGTGCCCCCTGGGCAGCGGCAGCCAGCAAAGGGGTGGGAGCGAGCCTGTGGGGTCCAGTCTACTGCTGACTATGGCAGGTATGACAGCCACCTCGACCACTGCTTTACCTGTGATGTTTCTCTTTCAATGTCCCCTTTCATATTTACTTTAAAAATAAACAAACATGGCAAGATGGACAATTTCAAACACACAAAAGTAGGAACAAAACAAGCCCCCCTCCCCATACCTCTCCCCCAGCTTCCACAATTGTCTACTTCTGGTCAATCTCCTTTCATCTAGACTGCCACCCATTTCCCTCTCTCCTGATTATTTGGAAATAATTTCCAGGCATCATTGCTTACCCTCCACCCCCATAAATTCTTCAGTAATTCTAAAACGTAAGGACTCTTTTCCCAAAACACAACCAAAAAAATGCTATTATCAGATCTGGAAAGATTCACTATAATCCCTATCAAAATTCTAATGGTATTTTTTACAGAAATAGAAAAAAAAATCCTAAACTTTGTATGGAAGCACAAAAGACTCTTTCAAACTATATTATAAAGCTATAGTAGACAAAACAGTATGGTACTGGCACAAAAACAGACATCGGGATCAATGGAGGTAGAATTGAGAGCCCAGAAATAAACCCATATATATATGGGTATGGGTGTGTGTGTGTGTGTGTGTGTGTGTGTATGGTCAACTAATATTTGATAAGGGAGCCAAGAATTCTTTTTTTTTTTTAAAGATTTTTTTTATTTGACAGACAGAGATCACAAGTAGGCAGAGAGACAGGCAGAGAGAGAGGAGGAAGCAGGCTCCCCGCTGAGCAGAGAGCCCGATGTGGGGCTCGATCCCAGGACACTGGGATCATGACCTGAGCCAAAGGCAGAGGCTTTAACCCACTGAGCCACCCAGGTGCCCCAGGGAGCCAAGAATTCTTAACGGGGTAAAGGTCTCTTTAATAAATCGTATAAGGAGACTGGATATCCACATGCAGAAGAATGAAACCAAACCCCTCTCCTACACCACTCACAAAAGCTAACTCAAAATGGATTAAGCTTAAACATAAGATTTGAAGCCATAAAACTCCTAAAAGAAAACAGGGAAGAAGCACCTTGAGATTGGTCTTGGCAATGACTTTTTTTAGATGTGACA